AGAAATATAAATATTATCGTTGAATTCAAATAGAGTTACAACGACGTCTCAGAAAAAAAAAAGGAATTAGATGATAATTGACTTAAAAGAGCGACGACGAAAGGGGTTAATAGTTGTAGGACAGCTGGTAAGATGATGACCAAGGGCTGTGGCAGCAGCAAGATGACTGTGGCAGGAATTGCGACAGCCAGGCAGGGTGTTGGAGTGGCTACTGTAGCAGGATGGAGCACTGAAGAGGCTGACAACATGTTAAAGTGTGGGAGAGGCTGACGGCGGTAGTCCAAAGCATTGGAGAGGCTGTTGGCAGCATGTGAAAGCATTGAGGAGGCTATCGACAATGGTTCAAAGCACTAGAGAGGCTGGCGGTAGTAGATCAGAATGCTGGAGGGCTATCGATAACAAGTTGGAGCGCTATAGAGGCTATCGACAACAGGTTGGAGTGCGTGAGTGAAATAGGAAGGGGTGGGAATGTCGGGAAGATGATAACGAGCAGGTGAGGGAAATATGGAAGAATAATTATCTCTGCGGGAGCGAGTTATAGCCGGAGCACCTCCACGAATCCTTAGAAAAGATTACCACCTCGAATGAGTTACAGTCGAAGCACCATCTCGCCATCGGATACAACCCAATAAGGGAAGAGGAGGATGGCAGCGACTGTTCAAACTGAAAATTCAGCTTCAAAACTAAACCTAAAAGAAAGAATATATATATATATATATATATATATAAATGAATGAATAGGGGTTATTATACGAGCCTTTAGCCATCCCTAATGTGTCTAACATTCGAGTACCACGTCCTTAAGGTTAACTGTGCTAGAGGGGATTCGAACCCCCAACATGAGAGGTCTTATGCTGTGGATGCCTACCAACAGGTCGTGGTACCCAACACACACACAAACATACTAGTAGTTAGAATAAGAACAAATTAGAATTGGAATGAAATAGAAAAAGGCAAGGAATAGAAGATAAATGAATAAAAATAGGAAATGAATAAAAAGAGAAAATAAAGATAAATAGATAGGGACTAGAAATAGGAAAGGAATAGAAGAGGAATGATTTCCCTTTATGGAAGGGAGTAGCATAGGAAATTGGCAGAGAAGGGGAGACAATTCCAGCCCCCATGAAGACTAGCCGGTTCAGTCAACCGCCCAGCAAGCCTTGCGTCAATCTCCTGGGGTTAGGGGAGCTTCGAATTCATTTGTCGAACCTTTTGGCTTCTCATACCACAGAGTTTAGTCTGCCACATTAAAGGTAGTAGAGTTAATGTAGTCCCTTGTTAGGTGATCATGCCAGTGTTGTCATTCCACAACATGTCTTGATAGAATAAATATACAAGATCTTTTGACGCATCCTGAGTTGGGGTTGTATGTAGATGTAGGTTCCCGCACTGTAACAATTGAGCTCTTAGGTCAGAAACATTCTTCTTCCACTTCTCATACTCAACGAAATATAACTGATAAACTAATATGAGAGGAGAGATCAACTTTGGGGCGGACTTTGTGTCAGATTGTGTCATTCTCACTGACAACCGCTTAGGAGAGACATGTTCATCACTGATAAATTGAATCCCACTAAATAATTTTTCCCTATCAAGCTCCTAAGATAAATTTTAAGAATGGGATTCACCCTTTGTCCGGACATCTAATGATGGGTAGAATGCTGAATTGAATCTAACATCTTCCTTTGATTAGGCCAACTCGGGTGTTCTCTTGGGTGTGTATGTAATATCCCGAGGTTGAGCTCTGCCTGCACAATATGATGGTTGCTCGATGATGTGGTCCCTCTATTTTTGAAGCTAGAATTTGAACTTTCTATCTACAGTAAGCTAGTAGGAACTAGCACTGGATCTCTTGCTTCATCTTCAAATTCTCTCGTTCTCCATATGCTTGCTCATCTCTCGGCCTCATTTGATACTGAATTATGAAACTTCTTGTTCCTCTTCATCACTGTAATCCTTTGTATGGAAGGGGTTGAAATTCTCACATCTTTTGCCTCTTTGACTTTATCGATCCTGATTGAGAGTAATCTATGGTTTCATCCTCAATGTATGCAAGCATCTACGGAAGTCGACGGATCTCTTGTTGTATCTTTTTTTGGATTGGCTCAGGCATGTTTCTCATTGGTGGCATGGGTAGAGTTTAGAATTGGGAGTTGAAAGAGGATGTATGAGACTAATCGACTGTGTCAAAAAATTAATTTGGGGTTACTGGTTTTGAAAATCAACCTAGAAAAATTAGGGTTAGGTTGAAGTGTATCTAAGGTTTGTGCGGGAAAGAATATTTTTCATAGGATTAAGGTGGGTGCTAAGAAATCCTAGGATATGACAGGGTTATGTTAGCTCTAATAACAAATGATACCAGAGTTAACCCAAAACTCAAGAAATATAATTATTGTTGAATAGGGTTACAACGATGACTCATCACAAAACTGGAATTAGATGATAACTGACATAATGGACACACCAGGGTGATGACAAAAAGGGTGAACAGTTGCAAAAAAACAGGTAAGATGGCAACCAAGAGTTGTGGCAGCAGCAAAATGATTGTAAAGGGAGTTGTGGTAGCCAAGTAGGGTGCTTGAGTGGTTGTTGTAGCAGGGTGGACTGTTGGAGAGGTTGTCGACACTAGGTCAAAGTGTGGGAGAGGTTGGTGGCAATAGTTTAGAGCTTTGAAGAGGCTGTTGGCAGCAGTTCAAAGCACTAAAGTGGTTGTCGGCAGCAGATCGAAGTGTTGGAAGGTTGTCGATAGCAGATCAGAGTGCTAGAGAGGCTATTGGTAGCAGGTCAGAGTGCGTGAGTGAAAAAAGAAGGGGTCGGGGGAATATGGAAGAATAATTATCTCCGCAGAAGCGAGTTAGAGTCGGAGCACCTCTCGAACTCTTTGAGAAGATCACCTCTTTAGACGAGTTATAGCCAGAGCACCATTTCGCCATCGGATATAGCCCAAGAAGAGGAGAGGAGGACGTTAACGACTGCCCAAATAGAAAACTCAGTCCCTAAAATAAACCTAAAATAGAGAATAACTGAGACACACACAGATATACATATATATATATGTGTGTGTGTGTGTGTGTGTGTGGCCTTTTGTTAAAAATCCATAGAAGTCTTAGCAGATTCACACCCTAACATTTTTCTCTTTTAGTATATCTGAGATGTACTTAGAGATATCACAATACTCATCTTAAACTTGACCACTTTCATGCCTAGAAAGTATCGCATCACTTCTAGATCCTTAATTTCAAACTTAGTGGCAAGATCCTCATTAATCTTCTCAATCTTTTTTTTATCATCAGTTGTCAGGATCATATCATCTACATAGATAATGAGTATAATCTTCTTACCTCCCTGTGTATAATATATGAGCAATGTATAATCCATTTGGCATTAGATGCACCCATTAGATTTCATAGTTATGACTAGATTGATTAATTTCAATTTTGATAATCCCTAAATGTCACTGTGGATGATAGAGATATGATGTGAGGGTTTGTACTGAGACAAATGGTAGACATATCGAGTATGTTTAGCCAATTGATAGGCTTCACACTGATAAAATTCTTGTTTTTTATTAGTAAAAAGATGATGATACAACTTTACAATATAATGAAATTTTGAAATGACTTAGATGAAAATATCGTAATAAAACTTGGCTTTCAATAGACTTAGACACAAAATAACCGGGAACATGGGAATAGGATAGTAAGGAAGACACATGTATGTTAAGAGAATAGCTTTCCTTGAGCAAGTATAGACTTTGATGCAATTCAACACTATCAATCATCTTTCTCAAATCTACCAACTAAAATTCACAAGAGTTAGAATGAAGTTTAGTAACAAGTTTAAGTCATGAGTAAGCATGTTAATTGAAAGTAAATTACAACCTAATTGGGGAACATATAGCACAGAAGAGAGCTAAAAATTTTTGGACTTTCACTTCTCTTTTCCCAATAATTTTGGAGTGAGATCAATCAACAAGTCTAACAACTTTGGAGTTGGTAAACTTTTAGTATTTGGTGAAAGCATTAATATCTCTAGTGATACGATCAGAAGCACTTGAATCTATTATCCAAGATTAAAATCTTTCATTGCTAGCGAGATAGGAGGATGATATGATACCTTGGTGTATCATTAAGCTGGTGAGTTGCTCAGTTTTGCTCAAAAGAAATTTTTTCAGTACTGTTAGTTGTTCCTTGGTGAATGGGCTAGGGTTGGCCTGACCCTTCAAAAGAGATAGCAATATGGGCCTTGTTGTCCTGATCTTACTCCTTTGCCCCAATTTTTAATTTGTAGGTTTTCTACATAAATTCCAACCCTTACATCAACAAAGGCTTCCCTAATCATAGGGAGAGGCTTCATCCCCATATTTATTCTTCTGATCTCATCTAAGTTCTTATTTAGACCCAAAGAAACTTGATCACCCTTTTCTTATCTTCTATTATTTTATACAACATAACATCTTGAAGTCACTTTCATGCACAAGTATTATACATATCTAATTGTAACCAGTACTTTATTAGTGTGTTGCAGTATTGAGTCACACCTAAACTCTTCTTGTTGGAGTTCATGCATTCTTGTCTCATTCTCAAGCAATTTTGCAATGTTTTCGGTATTGGAATAAGTCTCACGGATTGCTTCTCAAATCTCTTACATTGTCTTATAAAGTAAAATTTTTTCAATGTTTGTGGTTATAAAATTGATCAATCAAGGCATGACTATAAGATTTTGAAAGAGCGATGATTAGGTTCAGTGAACTAAAAAATTGTTCCTCTCTTTTGAGATGTTCGTCTTTTACTTTTTCATAAATATACATAAATATGGATTGGGACTGTTGAAGTAAGTTATGATAATTGGGTTCATGGTTTATGATAAAGCGAGAGGGTTTTATAGCTGTTTGAGCAGAATTCATTGTCATTAATTCAGAATAAACATCCAAAGCAGAAACCTTCATTTTGTACTTTTTCATAGGCCCTATGCATGGTTAAGGCTGGATAAGGGAAGACCTGGCTAGTTGCTGTTTGCTGCAAAAGGGGCAATTGGGTCGCAGAGGAATGGTCTCCAAGAAGACTGGCGACTGTAGGAAAGAGGAGCCGGGGAGTGCTGGCTGACGAGTACTGCCGCGAGGACAGCAGGAGAAGAACGGTGGAGGACGGATTATGACGATTGCAAGCTTGTTGGAGAGCCTCTGGAGGCTGTAGGATCAAACAGAGGAAGGCCTGCAGGTTGGATAAAGGGATTCTGGCGACTGTAGTCGGGAGTCTGTTTGAACAGAGTTGTCGACGCGTGCGTACGAGAGAGATGAGCAAAGCAAAGTGGTGCATGTACGCTGGGATACTGCAATCTTTATTCCACGAATCGAACGAAACCGAGACTAATGGGCCGACGCTTGCGATCCAACGAGAGTTTCGGCTCTTGGGTCTCATGCGCAAAGGAGACGAATGCAACGAGAATAAGACAATCCAGCGAGGATTTTGGCTCGTCACGCGCACATAGGAGATGGACATAATCAGAAGGAGAACATTGACGCTAACATCAACGACGAACAAGGGTAAGCATCCGATGAGGCTGTAGGGAGATGAAGAAACTATATTATCTTAATTTTTAATTATTAAGGGGCTGCATGAAACAGATTTAGCTCGGGATGATTTAAGCAGGATGTAATTCAAATTTTGTCATATGGCCATTTTTGAATAAAATAAAGCTGCTGATAAATTCAGGCCTGAGAACAATGTGACAGGCGAAATCTTGCCAAAATCTTTTATTATAAATCTACAAAATTTAACAATTTTTTAGATTTAACTTAAATCTGAATTTACTAAGTTCAAATAATTTAAATCTAATCGGTTCCTTAAAGTATAACTCTTCTATTTATATAATAAAAATTGACTAAGATAAAATTAATTATAATATTTATAATATATTAAAAAAATAACTTGAAGAAGAAAAAAATAAGTCAAAATTGGGAAAAATTATTGTGTCCAGACACCAAACGTAAATTTTGTGTGTTGTCTAGTCAGGACCGTGAAAAAGTTAAAGTGGGTCTCACTCTAACAATAAAAAAAATAAAATAATGTATTTTAGTGATCCTGATCGGATACCGCACGTAAATTTAATAATCGCTTCAAAATTGCTGTCCCAATTTAAAGGAAGCTCACAGCTTCCCTCTTGAAGCAGCAGATATGCTAACGGCCTCCAGATTTACTTTCCTCCCATGTTGTTCGTGCTTAAAAGAAGCAAAAAAAAGAGGCCCTAATTAAAAGAAAAGATAGTTATTAAAGGATATGCAAGCTGAGCTGACTGGATCCTATTATTTATTTGTGTTTTGATCTATAAATTCATGCATGCGAGTTATATCTACATGTGCAATTTATTGGAATTGCATCTCAATATTTTGTCATGGTTGATTTATTACCTTTTTTGCTTCTTAGCTAGTTGCTGAAATTAAATACCTAAGTTTCCTTTTTCTATCTCAAGTTTTTTCGCTTTTTGGACGAGTTTTTTATGTTTATAGCATATTTTAGTGTCAGGTGGAGCCTACTTCCCCGTTCGGTATGATTTTGTTACTAGACTATTGAAAACTGGTGCAACAACAGAAAGCGGCGCCGAGCCTGGTACTCGAATGAATCTTAATAGACATCAAACGAATGAAACAAGAATAGAAATGTTGCAGTACATAATAAATACGATTAATTGGACATGGTTTAGAAGTGATGAATTTTTGTCTTCACTTAGACCTGCTTTTTCAGAAGATGGTATGACTTCTGTTGATCTTTTTAATTCTTGCTGATATTCTTAACTTTTGAAATATTTCTCATATTTTTTTTCTTCAAATTTCTTTTCGATTTATTTTGTTCCCTATATGATCAAGGAATGCAACTACAGAATTCGATTGATGACCTAAGGATAGAATTTAGGAGCCTTATGGTGGCAGTAGATGACCTGCATTTGAAGCATATACTATTAGCAAGTAGCATCCAGAATCATAGGGACAGGACTGTTCAATTTAAAGCTGAGCAAAAGCACTTAGAAGGTATCTATCTGATGGATACAGCCGTAGTGCTGCTGTAGCCCAACTTATTTCTGATTACTGTTCTGAATACATTTTTTTGAGCGAGCAGATATCAAGTCAGAACTGGAAGAAAGTAACTCCAAATTGGCTTCAATTAAGGCACAAAATGTAGAAATGGTCAGAAAAGAACAAAAGGAAATACAGGACATGGAGGCTTCGCTCAAGGAGTTGAACGTAATGCCTTTTGTGATGCTTAACATGTTGTACTCAACCTTTCATAAAAATTCAGTTTGAGCTCCTTTACAGGATTTAGTTGCGAGTAGGATAGTGGAAATCAGTAATCTGCATGGAAGAAGGATGGAAATTTCAAAGAAGCTGGTGAACTTGAAGGTTTATTTAACTTTCAAATTTGATTCTTTTAACTGTTGGTGTGCTTATTGATGACAAATAAGTGGAAATGCCTCTTCATATACGTGCATTGGCTTGCTTGTTCCATTCTTACATGTTTGATTTCATGTATTGTTTAATACATTATTCAAATAATTGATGTTGTATTTGGAAAATGGACTGTCAGAATGTTTTGTTGGATTTCAAGCGTATCTCTTCTTCCGGAGCTTTTTTAATGCTAAAAGACCAAGTGGATAAATCAAAAATGGAATTGGAGAAGTATCAAATTTTATTGAAGAAACTACAGGTGGTAACTGGCCGGTAGATGTGTGTAGCCTGCTTGTTACACATTTTGGTAAATTATTTACTGGTGTTAAAGTTTGCTTCCAATCACTTTTGATAGGTTGAGAAGGACAATTTCCTTGTGCATGAAAAGGATGCTAATTTAGTAGCTGTTAGAGCTGAAATTAATGAAAAGATTCTTGAAATTTTAAAACCTCTAATTGATGAACTAGAGCAAGAGCTGCCAAAACAATATCCAGACTGGTACCGGTTATCAATGGCGACTAAGATTGAAGAGAAATCGAGAGAACCCAGTATGTAATATTATTTTTGTGCTGCCTTTTTATTAAACCAGATCCCTTGTATTTTATTTAATACTTGAGATATTTACCTCTCTGTTGGATTCTGTTTTTTTTTTGCTTGTTCAGGCAGGAGAGTAGTCATTCAAGAGTTCAAAAATTTTGTTTCTTCTCGTCATAAGGAGATGAGAGACATGCAAAATGAATTGGTTAAATTAAAAGATTCTTCTTCTGAAATTCATAGCTTGCGATCTCAAGTGCATTCTTTATCTGCCTTACTACAAAGGGAGGTAATGCTTCCCAATAGAACAACGCATGATTTGGTGATATCATGTCGCTCTTAAGTTCAGCATTTTGACAAGTGAATCTTTGATGATTCAGGCTTACAAATTGCAGTCTTTATATAATAAATCTGCGGGCCAGCATTTCGAGATAAAAAATCTGCATTTGGTGGTATAATCCTCTTATACATTTACTTTTTCTAATAATAGTACTTTACATCTTCCTTTGCTGTCAATCTAGCTCATAGAGGAATGGGTCAAGTAGCACTGAGCACCAACATGGGATTATTTATTTGCATTTCCTTGTAGCTGCTAGCTGGCACCGTATAACCAACAATTTATAATATAAATCTTTAATAATTTTGCGTCATATGTTTTTTTTGTAATATACTTATCTTGAGCTGTTTTAACCTGTTGGGAATTTTTAAGTTGCCACTCATTTTTTTGTCTCTTGTTGAGAAGCTAAGGTCAACATTATCACCGACATACTTTCAGTAAGAAAAAAATTTGATTTTGATTTTACGTATCTTTCAATTGTTTAGAATAACTCCAAAAAGAAGAGGTGTTGTAACCGCTCGTGGGAGAGGAGTCCAGGGAACTACAATTCATCCTACAACCATAAGATCAGAACTTTCTCTGGAATGTTGTGAAAAAATTAATCTCGTATTGAACTGGGAAAAATGTAAATTTATGGTTGCAGGAGGAATTGTGTCTGAACATAAAATTTTAGAAAGTGGCATGGAAATAGATCCTGCAAAAATATAGGTTATATCAAACCTACATTCACCTACAACAGTAAGAGGAGTTAGAAGTTTTTTAGGACATGCTGGATTTTACAGGAGATATATTAAAAATTTTTCAAAAATTTCTGAACCTTTATGCCAACTTCTGGAAAAAAATACAAAATTTAACTTTAAACAAGATTGACTTAAAGCCTTTGAAACTTTAAAATAAAAATTGATCACTGCTCCTATAATTGTTTCACCGGATTAGAAGAAATTTTTTGAATCAATGTGTGATGCTAGTTATTATGCAATTGAAACTGTTTTAGGGCAGAGATATAATAAGATTTTTAAAGTTATATATTATGCTAGTAAGACTCTCAATGTTGCTCAAATTAATTACAACACCATTGAAAGAGAATTATTAGCTATTGTGTATGTTTTTGATAAACTTAGATCATATTTGATTGATGCTAAATGTATTATGCATATTGACCATTCGACTATTAAATATTTGATGCAAAAGAAGGATGTTAAACCAAGAGTAATTAGATTGGTACTTCTGATGTAAGAGTTTGATTTTGTAGTAGTCAATAGGAAATATATTAATAATTAAATTGTTGATCATCTATTGAGACTAGAACAAGAAGAAATACTAGATATGGAAAAATAGATTAATGAAACTTTTCCTGAAGAACGACTTTATGTTGTAAAAGGATGAGAAATATCTTGGTATGCTGATATTGTAAATTATATTATTAGTAGTATTTTACATATGGATTAACAAAATAACAGGAAAAGAAATTCATTCATGATGTAAAATCATATTTTTTGGATGATCCTTATTTATATAAACAATGTAAAGATTTAATGACGAGTCGATGTGTGTCTTATAAAGAAATTCAAGGGATTATTCAAAAATGTCATGATTCTGAATTTAGAGGATATTTTGGGAATGATATAACTGTTCATTAACTGTTCATAAAATTTTAAAAATTTTATAATTTGAATTTTATTGGCCTACTTTATTTAGAGATGTTAATATGTATATCAAAACATGCGATCGGTATCAAAGAGTAGGTAATATTTCAAGAAAAAATGAAATGCCTCTAAAATTTAATTTGGAAATTAAAATTTTTTATGCATGGGGATTAAATTTTATGAGACCATTTATATCCTCATTCGGAAATATATATATATTAATTACAATGGATTATATTTCAAAATGGATTGAAACAATCGCTTTACCTCGATCTGATGCTCGGAATATTTCAATATTTTTAATTAAAAATATTTTTACAAGATATGAAATGCTAAGAGTAATCATTATTGATAGAGGATCTTGATGAAGGATCTCATTTTAGAAATGCAACAATTGCA